ACACACAATACAATAGCAATATCACTGATAATGTTGAACATGAAATACAAACAACTGTCATTTGGTTACAGTGCAAGTTTGTATGGCACAGTTTATTGGTAGAATTAATAGCAATAATGACAATTGTGCAACAAGGGCGTTATTCTGAAGTGTGGCAGGTTTTGTGTGTGTCCCGTCAGCACGCACCACGCCCCCAGTGCAGCGAGCAGCAAATCCAATTCTCACTACGCAGTGAACTCGAAAGATTTGCACAAGATCATATGTAGGTCACCTTCGTGGAACTTGACACCAAACCGTTTCTTTTACCACCTACTCCAAGTATTTGTATTTGTATTTATTGGAAGTATTTGTCACTGTGATAATCTCCTGCACAATCTTTGCAGCCCCAGAGGCCTACCTAGTGAGACCTACCTGTGTAGTATGGAAACAACAGTCCTCCAGGAGTAAAGGAGTAGCCCAAGCCAGCATGAGTTGGTCGGCTGCCCTGTTCAAGTGTCTCAGGAGCCATCTCCAGAGCAGAAGATAGTGAACCCACTGGTGCAGGCGTTCTCAGTCCTCTCAATCGGATCTCTCTTAGATCTGGCAGGGAAGGAATACAGCATTTATGCCTTCAAGCATTCTGATATGTCATGGACGGAATTATGCCCTTCAGTGCTTCAAAGATGCAAGAGTTCTGGTCCATAATTTCTGACAAAAGGATTTCAGCCAATTTGAACTCTAACTAAAGCTCAAATAAATCAGTGAACTTTGTAGCTGTTGTTCAATCTGCAAATGACATGTGGCCATGCCTTGCTAGATCAATTGGTACTTGACAGTGTGACAATTGACGACTGTGGTAGATTCAATTCAGTGCAAGTCTGCCACAATTGCAGCGCCCGACCTGTTCAAGCAGCTGCACATCACTGTAGCATTTCTGTGTGCCCCTCTTTCACCTTCACTTTCTGTTTCCTTTTCCTTTTGATCTGTTTCTTTGCTCAGGTGCATTGGTCATTTCCCTGGGTTGTCTTCGGCCCTTCTCACAATGTGCAGTGGGCAATGGACAGAATTATTTGCATGAATATTGGCGTCTGGTGGAACTGGCCTCTCAAGGCAACTAGACCCTGGCTACAGATTCGCACCATCCCAATGCCCACAAGGTCTGTTCCAAGGAGAAGATACATTCGTTTTGGATGCACTGGTGCCATTCACCGCCTTTTAGTTGCAGCGGCACAGTTTTCGCTTTGTGGCAGTTTTGGCTTAAATGCACAATCCAAAGGAATTGTACAAGGCTGCATGAACTCCAGCAGCGCAGACCATATTTTTGACGATCCTGCACAGGTATGGCAGACAAGCAGGTACCAGATCCACCGCGTTCGAGTCTGCCTCACAGCGTTCTCCCTGGGATGCCTGTGACCGTTTTCGTGAGGCGATAGACAGCTGGACAAACTGATGCTGCAAGATGATCTGATCTCAGTGGGGACACACGCCTTCAATCAGCGTGGAGCCTCCAGGTTTCCGCTAAAAACATATTCAGTAGTGTCATTCACTCATACCTCGGCTTCCAATGTGCGTTTGGGCTGGACGCACGAGCACCTGTAGAGTGGCGACCCCGGCGGCATCTTCAATTGGCGGTCGATCAGCCCGTCTCCTGGTGCCGAGAATCATGGCGGGCCCGTCTTATAAACCGCCGATCCCTGATCCCAGCAGCCAAGAGAGGAAACAGCAACCTCTCAAAACAGACCAGGAACCGACGCGCCATTTTGTGAAGAGACAGCGGCGTCGCGAAACGGCGTCGCGGGGAGCCCACATGCCAGCCCGCCGTTTCGCACAGCAGGCGCAATAGTTGCGACAGGCGCTTTTCGTGGGCCAGGATCGAGCCACCACGGGCTTTGCAGCGTCAATCCCCGCAGAGAACGGAGCAATGGCCGAAGGCCCCGCCACACTCCGCGTCCACCCTTTCCAGGCCCACCGTTTCAAACGACATGCCCCATTTTCAAACGCGTCCGGTTCCGAAATCCGCCGCAACCACGCCCGAAATGCGCTTGTGCGCCCGCGCCCGCAATGGAACCGTCGTTGAGCACAGAACCGAGGATTCCGCGCTTCGATCGCAACTGGTTCGGTTGTCGACCCCCAAACCGCGCCCATTTTCTAACCTCAAGCCAGAACGGCATAAGCCACCTGGATCCATAACAGTTGGCCCAGCATCCTGCTGCTGTCAATCCCAGTTGCACTGCAGCTCTGGATCTTGGACAATGCGGACTGTTGTTTGCGTCGCGCAACTAACGCCCTGTTTGTTGGCGCTCGCTTCGCCCATGGACACTCACCCAAACTGCGGCCGTCTCGCTTTGCGAGGCCCCTTGCGCACTCCAGGCGCTCAGATGCCGCACCGCCGCTGGCCAGGCACCGCGATCCGCCGGCCAGCGCGCGAGCGGTGCAAGCGGCGGGAGTCGTCGCAGGTGGGGGGCCCGGCAATCTTAAAAGGGACGGGGCACGGACGGTGGTCACGTCATGAGGTTGGGACGAGGGTCGGTACCTATTGGGCGACATGCCATGGCTCAAATCTGTGGTCTGGACTCGGCCAAAGAGAGCATCAAAGGGAAAAAAGCTCAGAAGCTTGTTCCGTGTATGGATTTCATACACAGAATCCAAACCCCGTTGAATCCACATATGCGATGGAATCCAAATACAATCCACGTCTATATCCAATGCAATCCATGTATCCATCATCCATGTATTGTTACTCCTAGTCGTATACATAATCCTGCTACAGAAAGAATATTAGCGAACAAGTATGTGCTGATCGCCCAGTCCATTCTTGGATGGAATCCGGTCTGTCCAGTGTATTGTCCTCCGGGCGTGGAGTACGTACCGGCTTTCAAAAGGCGGGCGAGTCGTTGGATGACGTGACATCCCGTTGTCGGGCATAATGACGACCATCATCACTTTCTTTACTGTTCTTTTTGTAATCGCTTTCATGAACAAACAGATGACAAAATTTTAACGACAAAGAATGCTGCTGATCGTGGCATTAAACAGAGTATAGCTTCTTTCATTGTGTGCTCTAACCCACCTTTCAAAATGTTCCATAAAAGGGAAAATCCATATCTTCCAGTTCCTACGTCACTGGAACTCACTATTGCGGAACCGGTCACATACCCCAGAATTTTGATTCTGTAGACAGCTGATCAAATTTGGTGCCGTTGTTATGAGCCTTCTGATACAATATTTTCTGTGGCAATTATTATCTTCGTATCAGATTTCAGCCATTTGTTTCAAATCTTGGTTGTGGTGCTGCTCGTCAGCATATACAACAAAGTCCAGCAACACCACCAGTTGTTGCAAGCCCTTCGCTCCAGAATTGACTCATAAACATGTGCCCTGAACACGAGATGGCAGCAGGCTTTGTGCCAGCAGCAATGATTCAACACAACTGTCGTTGGTGGAGCGCCACATGTCCATACTGCCCATGGCATGCCCCAACTGGGAGCAGCAGGATGCCTTTGTGTGAGCGCTGTCATATATCTGCAATCATAGCCACTTTTACTGCTTTCGTTTGGGGCAACTTATGCACTAGGTACCAAAGATAATATGCTATCACCACCAAGACTCCAGCACCAAATAGATGCTCTGCAGGATTCTCAGCTGCCAAAATGCAAACAAGGAATCGTTTACACTCAGGGCACCTATGCAAGCCCTTTATCCCAATACCTTTTCTCATCCCACTCACACATATCCAAAATGTTGTCATCGAGGAACACCACAGGCCCCATCCCACTTCACTCCTCACTGCCCCAGGAAGCAGCCGAAAGGCGATAACTTCTTCAAGTGCCACGCTTCCACCCATTCTTTTGTCATCCACTCAGTGCGCCCTCTTCTCATGCCTCTTCTGTATCCGATTTGGGAGCCGCAATCAGGCCTGCATCAGCCAACAGCCTATTTTTTGCTCGGGACAGTCGGGACTTGCGGCGGGCAGCTGTGTTTTTGTGCAGCACGCCCTTGCTCCAGGCCTTGTCTATCTCTTTGAAGGCCTCCGATATCAGCGACTCAACTGGCTTGAGCTCGTCCTCTGTCTTGGGGGGCTCATCCTTGAAGGTGTCTAGTGCCTTGAAGACCTGGTTTCGAGCACTGAGAGTGAGCACTCAATCGAAAGCACTGCTTCTCAGAAACGCGCAAATGAACTGATGGCAACTGTCCTTGCAGGAAAGAGAAGCATGCCGTACGGCGGATCCCCACACTGAGTTAGCGATGAGACTCTTGTGCCATGCTGTCACAGGTGTCGTGGAAATCTCCAGAGGCAGGGCAAGAACACACAACAAGCAGTCCAGTTTTCATGTCCTGCTTCATGTCAAACACCACATGCCGCTGCATTGTCATGGCTCATTCTCCTTGGAAACTGCTGCAATCAATGGTGGTGCCATGCGCCGCTCCCAAATGTACGAAATCAAGTTGTCAAAGGCCACTGCCAGCCATAATTGCACAACCACCAGGTCTGGGCGATCCTATCAAGGGCTCCCTCTTTCCATACAACAGGCCAGCGAAAAGGCAGGCAACTGCGCAGATGTCATCAACGTGACTAGAAGAATATACCAGGCAAGGCACTGTTGCGATACAAAAGGGTGACATGGCCAGCATGAAGAGTATAAATCATGGAAACACACACAATGCGAACACTGGTGGGTAATCTGGGGCTGAATGGACCTGGGCTTCCTGGCGGATGTACTTTGGACAATCTTCAAGGACACTGCTGCCCAGTATGGCCTTGCTGGTGACAGCGCCGTGTTTTGTCACTTCTACACAAATGCAATCACACGAGTAGTGTACAGACCTTTTTCATGCGCGTGGTGACCGCCGATTTTCTGGCCCTGTTCCTGATCCTCTGCTTCTCCGACCGCCGCTGCCGCCTATCAGAATTTTGCGCGGCTTGAACGTTCACAGCCGCGACCGTCGCAGCCATCTGCCTCCGAGGCGCTGCGCGCAAAATCAATTAACGGAGATCAATCCCATGTCGGGCCGCCAACCGCTGTACACATGGCCACGCCTAATGGCCCAGCGGCACAGCAAGCCGACTGTCGGTCCAATGTCAGCCCCATTCACGGGATTCCATTCGATAGTGTGGAGGCATGTGGAGACTTGCAGGCATGGAAGGCAGGCACAACACCTACAAATGCGCGGAAGTTTGCTCTCTGTCTGATTGACGGCAATGGAGACATCACACACCAGGCACACAGACCAGGACCACGCGGCGCCGCGTTGCCGTCCAAAGATCAGGCACCAGTTTCAGGCTGGAATGCCAAGCTCCCAACCAGCTGAATTCTCGAAAGGCCCCAAGAGAGTCTGAAATTCGATATGGGCATATGCGCGCTGCCTTGCCTGCCAGCGCCTGGCCCCGCATCGCCGACGAGAACGAAAAGTTGGGCGTCGGCGGCGGTCGAGACGCCACTCCCAGGGTCAGCCGCCGCAGCCCGTGGGTCAGCGAACCCATCATCCTGTAGCCGCACCGCACGCCGAGCCGAGCACGGACGCTCCGCGGGAGGGAACGCCTGGCCACTTATCGGCGCCCTTCCCCTCGCTACCGGGAACAGCCACTCCGCCGTTTTTTGTTAGTTTGCGTACCCCTGATCCAAACCAAAAAAAGAAAGAAAACGGCGGGGGAAGTCGGCGAAAATGGGAGCAGTTTCTTTTTCAATCAGACCAAATTGGTGACGTCAGCTCACAATTCTGCGGGTCGCAGTTAAGGCGAGACAGATTGGCACCTGGCGGTTCCCGCGCCCAAAGGAGCAAAACAAGCCCCTCCCTTGGCGCTTGCACAGCGTACATGCTCCCCGCCGTGCCCTTCCCGCACCTGGTCACCTCCCTGCCCTCCAAAACAGCGACGCCGTCGGTTCCACACTCGCTGAAGCCCTGCGTGCAAGGCTCAGAATCCCCTGCCTTCGGATCCGAGAGATCCTCAGTTTGTTGTCCTGCAACGAAAAGGCGCAAAAGGGACAAAAGGGAAAAGGCTCGCGATCGATGTCGGCGTATTCCGACGTAGCGTTCACGAGGCGCAAGGCGCGGCCCCCAAAGAGGGCGCTGAGGGAGGAGGAGCTCCAGGAGATACAGGAGGCCTTCAAGGTATTCGACGCCGGTGAGTATCACTCACAACCTTTCATGAAATACGACACAGGCAAGGGGTGCAAAGCGCCAAGTCTTGTACCGCTTTCCCAAAATAGGCTGTGGGTCAACTGAACCGGTGGGCGGCCCCGGTGGCCTCATCTAGTCGGCGTTCACATTGCCATGCATTCTATTTGCGACATCGCTAATAGGCGTGGTGGAAGCATCAACGGAAACTGAGCGAAATGGACAAGTTTTTGCAGCAAGGATCTGTATGTTAGTACACGATTTGGGTAGTTTTTCAGAGGTAAACACTAAATCGCATTGCGCTCAATTACCCTGCTTTCATCATCATCATCATCAACATCATGATCATGATCATCATTTTTTACCCTTCTTTCCCAGTGGTGATGTGGGCTACACGGCGGCCAAACCAAGTCCTTGTTGTGGGCGTGCGGCTGGCGCAGTGATCCTGTGCTCGAAATCGCTTCGCTGCCATGTGAGCAGCCACTGATTGAACGTGATTTGATCAACCAAAGCTCGCACGTCACGGTGCAGACTCAGCGACCAGTCAATAAATATTGAACATTCACTGGCACCAAATTGTAATTTTGCACAGCCAGTTTTGATGTGCGCGCACAGGGCCTTGAATCGCTGCGGATCGCGCGGTCTTGGAGCATGTGTTGTATTGGTACATACTTGGTGCATTCCTAGCCTCACTTGTTTGGTATATTCCTCTCATGAGAGGATGTGATCGCAAGTATGTCTGTGCGACACAGGCGAAGCATTGCCCGCGTATATTTTCATTATATATCGTATTTCCATATTTCCAGTGTGCGTTCAATGTTATGTAGGTAAAATTAGACTAAGCTGACGAAAATCGTTTCAATTTCAATGGCCCCTAATCCCGATGCGCTGAGCCTACTCTTGGTGTCATTTCCTACCAGCGCAACAAGGCGGCCGTTGTCTCTGTCACCTATAAGGGAAAGCGCTTTAAATAAAATGCGCATTGATAACAATCTTGCCAGCCAGCCAGTGAGTGCAGGGCTGCTCAAGAAATGCACCCGGCGACGGGCGTTTGTGGCATGCAAATATCAGTTCTCACTAAATTTCCCAAAGGAGATGCCAACGGTCGCTTCAACAGACTGCGATTCAAACGCACCAGGAACGCATGTACCCGCCTCTCAGACTATGAGTCTTGCTGAGCTGGCCCCAATCACAGAACGCAGACACGCACAAAACTTGCCGAAGAAGACGCACAGCAAATTAAAACCGCCTTGCCCGCTATCAAACTACTAATGTTGGCCTTTGTCAGACAAAAACGGCGCCATTTCCTATCGCGAGCTTAAAGTCGCCCTGAGGGCCCTGGGCTTCGACGTCAAGAAGAAGGACGTCCTCTCCCTGCTGCGCGAGCACGACAAGGACGAGTCCTGCCAGCTGGACCTGCCAGAATTTCAGGAGATCGTGACGGCGAAGATTCTGGACCGGGACCCGGCGGAGGAGGCCGCCCGCGCTTTTCAAATCTTCGACGTGGACGGGACAGGTCACATCACGGTGAAGTCGCTGAGGCGCGTGGCCAAGCAGCTGGGGGAGTCCATCGATGACGCCGAGCTCGCGGACATGATCGACGAGTTCGACACTGATCAGGATGGTACCATCAACCGAGAGGAGTTCTTCCAAATACTGAGAGAGGACGACGACTAAGCTGATCAGCTGGTGTTTGTGCGAACCTGGGCAAAAACGCCAGGATACGGTGGCAACGTGCGTGTGCTTAGGCTTTCTTATTGCATTTGCCGAAACCAGCAAGACATAATTTATCGGCCTACTTGGCTGTTGGCATCATAACCGTGAAATTAGCTGACTGGTTGAGACTTTGTGCATTGCGCCGCGAAGGGAGGCATAGAAACACGGTTATAAAATTGTGCAAGCGAGCAGGTTCTGTTGCAATTTTACCACGAGTTGCTGTACTGACACATGATTCAGCAAGTTCACGTCATGTATGCACGGAATTACAGTACGTACTCAATGGACATTTCTGTTGCCACTGTAGCTGGGTAGAATGACACAAGTTGCGGGGGAACTAAGTTGCCAATGTACCAGAGTACCCTTTGTCCACAGGTTGCTGTCTGCCCCCAATGCACTGAACTACCCAACAACTACTGGGAATTTGGCGATGTGGACTAAACAAGAAACAATGGCAAATTCACAAGCAAGGGCGATTGGCGCAAGCATTGAGCCCCGTGTCGCAATATATATTGGACTATTCGTGTCCTGCGCAGATAATTCGAAGCTGCGACAAACGACTCAATCCTTGGTTTCGTGCTGTGCTCTACATTGCCACAGTATGTGAGTCGAAAACCGCAAGCACAATAGCCGACATGTGCACAGTCTGCACCATGGTGTATGTGGCACTTATGTTGATTGTTGTGCTTGCTATTCTCCATGGAAGCGGCACTGAATCAGTGCCACAACGCGAGGCCCTGCTGTCCTCAAGTGTCATCGGAGATGAAGATTGACGTTAGGCAGATAATGTTTGTTTGTTTGTTTGTTTGTTTGTTTGTTTGTTTGTTTGTTCCTTACATGGATGCATCGACATGACGTCACAGCATCGATCAATGTAGCGTACCATCCAGTGTACAAAGGGCACGTCCAGGCCCACCTCTAGAACCGAAAACACGCCTCTAATAGCGGCCACTGCTGCCACCGAACCCCTGGAAACTCCCCCACAAAACAAGAGACGTGACATGACGTCACGGCATCGATCAATGTAGCGTACCAAGCAGTGAACGAAGGGCACGTCCAGGCCCACGCATATTGCAAAACACGCCTCTAATGGCGGACACAGCTGACTTCGATTGTTTGTTTGTTTGTTTGTTTGTTTGTTTGTTTGTTTGTTTGTTTGTTTGTTTGTTTGTTTGTTTGTTTGTTTGTTTGTTCCTTACATGGATGCATCGACATGAAGTCACGGCATCGATCAATGAAGCGTACCATCCAGTGAACAAAGGGCACGTCCAGGCCCAATTTTATGTCCGAAAACACGCCTCTAACGGCGGCCACAGCTGCCACCGAACCCCAGGAAACTCCCCCACGAAACAAGAGAAAATGTCTGCAAGCCAAGAATCAAAGTGATGGGCTAAGTTTCGCTCACTTCTTTTACGCAAATGTGGGCACTCACTGAGCTCAGAAAAGCTCCCAAATGGCCGCAATGTTTCCAAACCAGATTGCGCAGATTCGATGTATCAATCCCTTCTGAATTTAGCCACTTCTCGTGTAAACCGATCACCCCGATGCAATCCACGAAAAGATGGTCTCAAGCCCAAAAACCAAAACCAATGAAATCCAGTGCCATACCAAGCAATACGAGCCGTACAGAATGGTCAGACTGAGCCAGAAAAGAGAAGGCCAGATTGCACTCAGCTGCTCGAATAAAACCATCCCATGGTACTAAATCGTGGCGACCAGGTCATGCCAGAACCATGACGGATCCCCAGAGATTACCATGCCAAAATAGATGGAAGGTGGCGAAGGATGGAGTGGCTACCCCCCGCCACACATTGCACTACAGCCTCCGCGCACCCAAGCCGAGATTCAGGACCAAACAATATCACGCGCGCGCCTCCGTCCGCCTCGTCCGACACACTCACAATTAAACCAAAAGATTGTTCCAATTTCGCAATCGCACGACCTCCGCGTCCCACCAGGTGAGGCACGGCAAACTGCGGGATGGAGATCACCCGCGCATCCGCCGTGCTAAGCCCAGCGGGTGAGAGCCAAGCCCAGGGCTCAGTGGCCGTTAGCTGGGGTGTCGGGGAAGGGGCAGAGGGCTCCGCAGCGGCATGTGATTGCAGCCTCTCGATCAGCGCTGCTGGCACCTCGATGCGTTGCAGCTCGGAGGCTGCAACAAGCTTGTTGGTTCGCCCGTCGGTCACCTCCACTCGAAGTGCGTCCGTTCCTTCACGCGAATCTCCGGGGATCACCCCCCCGCGCGCTCCCACACCCGTGACCAGTACCGTCACAAACTGCTCCCCACCAGAATCGTCGACTTCGCGGAGGATCGCTGTGTCGCCCGATTGGAAATCGCTTTGCGTAGACACAGGCGGGGAAGAGCGCCAGCCGTTGTCCGCCATGACTGAGTCGTTGGAGTCCGAATCGCGCTGAGCAGGCGGCCTTGGCATCCGCGACGGCGCTGCATTGGGGCCAACGGAATTGCGTTCGCAAGGCCTGCATGCATGCGAGCGAGGCGTGGCGACCTCGCCGCTCGATTGAGCCACAGAAAAATGCGAGGAGCAAAGGTCAGATGCAGCGCCAGAGTGACCATCGTGTGGCGCCCCAGCCCGAGGAACGACGGGCGCACCGCCGTCAAGCGGAAAGATGCAACCTTCGGCTGCCAAATCG